CACAGTTCATCACACCTTCCCAGCTTCCCTGCCCTGAGCCTCGCCTCGCTTCCTGTCCCCCAGGGGAGAGGAGCTGACCTCCAGCTGGCTGAACCTCCCAGGCGGCAGGCCTAGAGGAAGAGAGAGTCCGGACTGTTGGGGCTGCTGCTGGGAGGAGCTCCCCCAAACGGAGACAAATGAGGGCCAGTCCCAGCAGCAAACAGGCAGGGAGGGAGTCGTCAAGAAAGAAGGAGATGGTAACCTGATCTCTGCCCAAAACCTAGCTGTTTCTCTTTGTCCCACATCCTGTCAAACTGGGCTGAACTCCTTTTCTCCCTACACACCACCACCTCACGGCCCTGCCTTGGTCTGCCTCGTAGGAAGCGAATATTCCAGCCCAAAGTTATTCCAGCCCAAGGCTTATCTCGGACAGCGGGGTCCTGGGGGCCTCCCTCCCCGACACACACAAGCTGGGATGAGGGAAGCAGATATGAGTCAGAGAGAATTTATAGTTGACTACACAGCCACACTCTCCCCGCCTGGAAGGGGGCTCTTCCTGACACCCCAAAAGACAGGCAAGGGGGCCTTCCCCATGCCAGCAGATCTCCTCCAAAAATGGAAACCATCCTTCAAAACAGTGACCAGCTCCCAGGTGACCAACTCCCCCGGCCCCCTGCCCCGAGCTCCATCAGTCTGCTGTGTGGGAACAGGCTGGGGTAGCAGCCCGGGCATGGAAGGAGGCCGATCACCAGTGGCTCAGGCTTCAGCGTGCCAGGCCCTCCCCCAGCAGGGCAGTTTAGGTGGCACGGGTGGTGGGGCCAGGGCATACGTTAAGTGGCCTGGAGCCTTTCCCTCAAGGCTCCGGCTGGCCCAGGCCAGGACTCTAAGGACTAAGGCCAAGAGGGCAAGGACAACAGCTCCCCAAGAGAAGCAGCCCCCGAGAAACTGCCGCACAGGCCCTAGGAGGGGCCGCGAAACCGCCAGGAATGGAGCCTGGAACTCCCGGGGCCTCCCCTGAGACAAGGCAGACCCCCACCCCGTCCTCACTCTCTCCGTTCCCAGATGACCCGGCCCGCCGTTCCCCGCCGGCCACCCTGAGTCCCAGGGCAGGAATCCGATAGCTCCTCCTCAACTTTACAACCAGAGCTGGGCCTCGGGTCTCCCAGCCCAGACCAAGTTGGGAAGCGGGAGGGGGAGGGAGAGGGTTGGAAGAAAGGAGATCCTTACACGCTCACACTCACACACTCACACGCACACGCACAAAGGAGCTGGATCCCTCCTGCTCCCCCAGCCTCCCGCCCCGCCGGCTCCAGGAGCCGTCTAGGGCGGTGTCCAGACCCCGCAGAGCAGTGGCAGCCCCCGCAGATCACCCCCCGCCCCTCTTCCCGCCATGGCCCGGCCCGCCTGGGGAAAATCCCACTTCCACCGGCCCCGACCCGGACCCGCTCCCGCACCCGCACCCCACCCCACCCAGGTCCTCCCCGGCCGCCGGGTCTGAGCTGGGCCTCCCTCGCGGAGACCCAAGTTCTCCGCTCGCCCGGTGGGGCAGGTTCCGAGTGGCCGGGACGGGAAGGGAAAGGACTCGGGCTCGGACCCCAGGAGGGAGGGGCCCGGCGGGGTAGGTCCCGGGGCCCTGGCTGCAGCCCGGGGAGGC